AGTGTTGCACTAACACAGTCCAAGCCCCAGCCCGTTTGTTCGTTTGTTGTGATGTCCTTTGCAGGTACTAAAGGGGCAGAACTTGTGTTGCAACAGTATAATGTTGTTTTCATCATTTTTATTAAAGTGGTGGATGCAGCAGACACTGCTGGCCCCTCTGCATTTTGTGGTAGCGTATATACTGTACATACTGTATTGAGAATCATAAATTGGCAGCTTCTATATGATTAAAAATGTGTTTAATTTAGTGATCTGTATACAGGTAATCCTTGGCTTACGACAGCGATTGGGACTGGAATTGCCATCACTAAGTGACATGGTCATAAAGCGCAACGTCATATGACCACATCACTTAGTAACAGCAATTCCGGCAGTCCCAGTTGCTGTTATTAAGTGAGGAACGCACAGGTCGTTAAGCGAGGACCTCGTGTGACTGCGACTTCTGGCTTTCTGCTGGCTTCCCCATTGACTTTGCTTGTGAGAAGCCTGCAGGGAATGTCAGAAATTGCGATCACATGACTGCAGCTCACTGTGGCATTGTAATCATGACCTGGGCCCAGATCGCAATCGCATGACTGCAGAGATACTGCAGTGGCCAGAACTACGAGGACCCGTCCAAAGTACCATTCGTTCAGCACATTGCAGCTTTGAATGGTCATTGAACGAATGGTCGTAACCCAAGGACTACCTGTAAATGTATGCATAACAGAGTAAAATTTACTGTGATAAACATTTTTTGATACTTAGAATCATATCTGTTTAAAAATAAAATGTTTAAAAACACTTACTGGTTTTGCTTACAAAAATGGTGTCCCTTATTTTTATGAGCACTTATTTGTATTATAATAACTTGGTATTCAAATGAATTGTCATTTATACTAAAGCTTCCTTATATGTAATGTTAGGGTATAGAGTATATCTATTTTCATCAACTAGAAACCTGTTCTTGAGTTTCCATAATTTATACCCTCATTTTTATTGCTGGGTAGTTTGTTTGGAACTTTTGTATTACAGACAATTACTATGCAGTATTTTTCATTGCATTGACCTCATTTTAATTGTAACTTTATTTTTTTTACCAAGAGAATATTCTATATGCCAGTGGAACTCATAGTTAAAATCTTATTCATCTTTGCTGAACTCTTATATTATTCCTTTGTAATAGTAAATTATATTTCATGCTGCTATAGTGAGAAGTTAATTCATCTCCTATGATGGTGAAATATTTGTGCGTAATTATGTATATTATGTTTTGCCATAATATATTTGGAGGATATTTTCATTTTCCTGTTACTCAAATTAATTTATACATTTCAGACATTACTAAATGCATTATTTAATTGAAGCACTATTT